TACACCAACAAGTCAATGTGTGTGTATTTACAAATGTGTGGCAGTCACAGTGACATTGCCGCCATGCGACCGCAGCTCGATGAATCAACAAGTCGCTGTTGTTTTGTGCTGCCCGCAGTTTTTTTTTTCAGTTCCTTTTTGCTTTTTGCCTGAGCGCGCAATTGGCACCCCGCCGTCGGTTTGGTTAAGTGGCTGTGATTTTACGAGCTTGTGTACATATATGTATGTGTGTGCGTGTGCTTGTACCACATATGTACATTGTCATATGCGTAACTAAGCCTATTATTTGGGCATTTTTGTTGATGATTTGTACCGTAGAGTGGCTCTTTAGAATATCGCTACGCTCTTACGCTATTTATTGTGCCTTGATTAAGTGTCCGATTTTAATGAATTTTGAATTGAATTTAACTAAGTATTATTTTTCGCTGGAACAATGAAGTATTGAAATAAAATCTTTTAGGGAATGAATGACAACAAGCAGCCTAAGTACTTCAGCTAACTTAAATTAGAATTAATCAATCGGAAATGCATTTTAAGTGGGAGACATTGTCGTAGTAATTTTATATAGTAGAACATAGTTCAACTGAAAATATAGATAAATTTTAATTTATTTTTTCATTGTTTTTTATTGCAAAATAGGTTTCGATTTCCGCCCATTATTAAGTTTAATTTATGACAATAATTTTTGAAATTAAACAAGAGCTTTCTAATTGTCATTCATAACTTTGAATCAAGGATGAAATGATGCCCAACTTATTCCAGTTTGAGAGCGCCTCAAAATGAGCGTTTTTTTTTTTTATCTTGTATATTGTAACCAGATCGGAGAAAATACAAATTTTTGGGTATTTAAATTAAAATAGCCAAAATTTATAACGATTATAAGCTATTATAATTTTACCAATTATCTTATGAATATTTACGTATTTTTTATGAATTAAAGCTATATTAAAATGGCTGACTTTTGATCTTTCAATATTAAATAAAGTGATTCAATCCTGAAATCACTTTATTTCTTAATCTTAATCTAAATTAAGAAGTTACATGGGTTTACGGGGTTCAAAAAATCGTCATTTATCATAAATTTTCAAGTTGTTCCGAGTAGGTGAAATGCGCCATCTTTAAACGTGGTTTCTTCGAAACTGTATTTTTGAAGTCGGTTGGCAAAATTTCTCGAGAATGATTCGAACGATCATCATGAAATTTTACACAAGTCTTTGAGATACAATTCTTAAAGACTTTATTTAAACTTTAATTTTTTTGTCCGCCAAAAATCCAATTGCTATTTTATTTTATCCTTCGTCTAAGTTCTAACTTAAGGTTTTAACTATAACACGTATTTTTTTACTTTAGAGGATCCTGTAAGGAGTTATCTTGTCAAAGCGGGCGCATCTTTTTTCCGAGAGGCCATCAGAAATGGCGTTCCAATGTCCGAGTGTAATATTTTTTTCCAAAAATTTAAGAATTTCTTTGCTAATAGTATATGTTTGTAAGAATAAAATATTTAATTTTTATATAAGAAAAAAGTGTTGAAAAAAAGGCTGTTTTTCACGTTTCTAATAATTTTAGATCGAAAATCGAATGCATCACATGACAAAATATTTCATCAAATACAATTAAATTTCATGTTTTCTTTAATTTTCACTCCTTTTCATTTTTATTAGTTATCTGGCACGCCGGCAAAAATCCCTCCATTCTTTTTTTTTTTTTTTTTTTTTTTTTTTTTTTTTTTTTTTTTTTTTTTTTTTTTTTTTTTTTTTTTGGTAGAATTTCAATCTAGCTGTTCCAGTCAGTTGTGAAATGTCAAAACCTACCCATACCAATCAACTATCAAAGTCGGATACATGAGTTGCTCTCTCATTTCCAGTGACAGGGAAGTTGGGCACCTCTTTATCTCTGCTTTGAATTATGACGTTTCTCAATTGAAAAGAAATCGGCAATATTATGTATTTTGATGATAATTACATTATTACTTAGCTACAGTTTTCAATGTGAATCTTTTCTACATAAGGCTTAGCTTGTAAGTTTTTTTATAATAATATCGTCTGTTGGATATATTAGACCATATAGAAACCCATCCCTGTAAGCTGTCATTCATAAAAACAGAATTTGGTCACATTGGAAGACACTTTTTCACATATTTCTACAATACTTTAGCCAACGAATCATCTTGAAGCTATAAGTTTCAGTTATAAATACCCGAATACACCGAGACGGTGATAGATACACATATTTGTCAGACAATGATCTAACATTATAACAATTAAGAAAAGTAAATTTTTTAACAAAAACAACTTTTCCTGGAAGCCATCATTTTGCCAATAAAGCAAATTTATTGTATACTTGTCCTTCAATCATTGCTAAGTATATCCATCAATAATAATAATTAATTAATTTTTTGTTTTTGGATTTGTGTTAAATTTAAGCAGAAAAATCATTCTCACTGTCACATCCAGTTAGTCAGCAGTCAGTTAGTTAATGCGGTACAAAATTGAGGCAATTATCTGCTGATTTTGTGATTAATTTGTTTAATTTAATTTAATTTGTGATTTCATTTTTTTTCACAACAAAATATTTATAAAAAACTATACTACTATACAAAAATATTTTCCACAAAAGTTCGTATTTTCCTTGCAGGGGTTATGGTGTTAATATGCTCTAATCACCCCATCAAGTGGGAGGAGTATTCTGTGCCTCATGGCTTCATCTCCGTTGTATGTCAGTTTGTATGTGTGTGTGAGCCCATGAGTGATTTGAAATCTCTTGCCGTATCTGCGCAATATCGAAAGCAGATTATAAGTACCCCTAGAACACAAAAAAACAAAAACAAAAAAGTTTCACGCTTTGCCGGCGCATAACAGACAGAGACAGTCGGCAGGCGTTGTGCGAGCTGCTTGGGCATAACGAGTTGTTCCATTCAAGCGCTCGCACCAATATGTGTGACCAGCAAGCAGGCTGTGAATTAACGCTTCGCTTGTGAATGAATAAATCCAACGTGATTTGAATGAATGGTTGAAAGCGCTCGCCACTTAAGTGAACAACCAACTCAGTAACATTTCTAAATGAGCGGCTGCATAAACCTTTCCTTAAATAATGCTCATATTCAACAGGTTTTTTCACAAATAATTGCTTTTGCATTACTGTATTTTTCTATTCATATATAATATTTATGTATGTGTGCCTGTACATTATCCATATTATTGGCGCTCAACTGTGCTCTAAAGCGCCAAGTATGAATGAACGCTTGCCCACCTTTCACTGTTTCACAGTTAGTCGCCCAGCTAAGGCCTGTGGGAGCAATATTGGCGCAATGCGCTCTTCTCACACTCGCGTGTGCTCCCCGCTACACGATAATCACGCGATTCATTTGCTCTGCTCACAGCAGCGCTGCTATTAGCCATTGCTTTTTTCATGTATGTACATGCTTGTCTGTGCGTGTTTGTGAATTCTGTGTTTTTGTTTTCGCAGCATTTGGAGCTCATTTTGTGTACGTTTTGTTTTTGTGTTGGTGTTGAGTGCGCTTTTGATTGGTTTTCGAATTTCATCGAATCAGCGCCGCAAATTAATGGGGCGCGAACGTTGCTCTTATGAGACAACGTTGTATTTGAGTGTTGCTATTGAAGACAAGACAATTGAATGCTGGGCACGCCTTTTGAGGAGACTGAAGCTGCAGAGATGTTTACTTATGAATTTACATACATGAGTGTATAGATTACATATGTATATATATTCCATTTCTTTGATATGGCGTGCTTGCAAGTTTACCGTATGCGTATGTATGTAAAAAAAAAATTTGAATGTATGTAGATACATATTGTATGTACATATTTACACGTATGCATAAATTTATATATGACACTCATTATGCATATTAGGCCTAAGGCAAAAAGCATTGCAAATTTTAGCTTACCTCGGTCTAATTTTTCTACCTAGTACAAATGAGTTGTATATGTAGTGTTTTGCCAATTTATCTTAGACAATACGTGCATTTTTCTGTTTTTTTAATATTAGATAATGGAAAAAATAAATAAAAATAATAATAAAAGACAAATTTAAACAAATATTAAAAATAAACGTACGCAAAATATGTATGTATGTATATAATCACTATCACTGAGGCCTTGTCCTCCCAGACTACTTAGCTGTAGACACGGCTGTAGAGATTCGGAAAAGTAAATTTAAAAAAATAGAAGAAAAAATATTAAATTCACTGCACCGAAGCTTTAATGCCGTTCACAAATAAAAATGTTTCGATAGCAATTTTTGATATCAAATGGTCTGTTAGCATGACACCTGTGTGTTATAGTGATCCGCTCCAAAAAATTTGCTCGGAGATTATAGTATTGTTCTGGACCATAATCTATGCTACACATTGTGAAAAAAAATTGATCGGATAGTTTTTATGACAGCTACATATATTCTATAGTAGTACTATATCTACGCTTCCGACAAATGGAAAGAACAAGATGTGCAAAGTCTCACCTCAATATCTGAAAAACTAAGGGAGTAGAACTTGTCGACTCGCCGCTCATAATTTATATTATATATCTTCACCTAAAATGCAAAGTAACGGAGGAAAAGTGATATGATTGATATCACTCATATTGAAACAAAATTTGAGTTTTGGTTATAAAATGGTTACATATTGGTTAACATACACACAAGTTTTGGTTATAAAATGGTTATATATTGGTTATTATGTCTGATAGCGATTTTCGATGTTTTTCGATGATTTGCATTTTAGATGACGATATGTAATATATTTTATAGGGTATCCATAGTTTTAAGCTGGCTATTGCAAATTTTGCGGCAAACTTAACATACCCTGTTCAGGGTATTAAAAATATTTCGCACTTCCACACCTATTTAATTATACATTTAAAACCAAATATAGCGTATAATTTAACGTAACTTATTTTTTAATTATTAATTTAATCAAACAAACATTATAAATTAATTTTACATTAACAAATAATTACAACAACATTTTTCTTTCATTCTAGGCTACAGCAGTAATCCGCACGATCACAGCAATAACAGCCCGCCCCCGCAAACGCAACAACAAACACAGAATGCTAACAATAATGGTGGTTCGCTGCTTTCGCATGCGCAGCAGCAGCAACAACAACAACAGTCGCAACAAAGCAATCCCGCCGCCAACAGCAATGCGTCAGGCGTCAACGCCAACCAGTCGACCGGTCCGACGACCAATCACAACAACAACAATAGTGCCAATATGAATTACATGCACGTGGCGTTACGAAACTCGGCCGCTGCGGCCGCACTCTACAGCCAACATCAGATGAAAGAGGAACCGGGCACACAGAACACCTCCTCCTATTCGAGTCTCGGCAGCGGCAGTAGTAACGGTCAAACCGATCCAGCTGATCTCTCTGTTTCATCCGTTTATGGTTTGCCACCACATCTCGCTGGTGCTGCCGCTGCGGCAGCTGTTGCTGCAGCCACCGGTGTACACTACGATGATAATGATTATCACAGCACGATCTCATCGCAAGAGCATCCGAGTTATCAGGATAGCGGCGCCGATTTCTATGGACTCGCTGTGGCGAATAATGAACAGAAATACAATGCCTATGGACGCTCACCATTCCCCGATACCTATGGCTCGGAGTATGGTTCGTATGATCCAACGCGTTTCTCATCGATGAGCGGTCAATCACCGGCAGATCAATGGGGCGTGCATCATGGTGGGCAACATTCGGCCGCGTATATGAATACGATGAGTTTGGAGAAGGCACTTATGGGCGCATATCCCATGCAAGGTGGTGTGCCGTGCTTTACCGGCTCTGGGCCGATACAGTTGTGGCAATTTCTATTGGAGCTACTGATGGATAAGACGTGTCAGGGCTTTATTTCGTGGACTGGCGATGGCTGGGAGTTCAAGTTGACCGATCCCGATGAGGTGAGTTGTCGTGTGAGAGAATTTATTAATTTAATAAAAAAAAAGGGGCTAAAACGAAATTCAAAGTAGTAGAAAGTGAAGCTTAAGAGAAAGGTCTGTAGAAGACAAGTATTTTAGGTTTTGAAGAGCTAGACTTAATATTTCATGTAGCGAAACTAAACATTTTCGAAAAAAATATTTTTTTCGGAAAAGTAACGTACATGAAAAATGTAATAGGAAAAGTGTGGTTAAATTCGAAATTCCAAAAATGCAAAATTGAGGTTAAATACGAAACTCTAAAATATAGTTATGCAAATATTTCCAAGGACATAAAAGCTTTTAAGCAGTTGTTAAAGAGGTTCGGTCTAGTTATACAAATCTACAGTGAGTCTATCAAAGCTAATGTGTACACTAAACATTTTCAGGTTGCTCGTCGCTGGGGTATACGCAAGAATAAGCCAAAAATGAACTACGAAAAGCTCAGCCGTGGTCTCCGCTATTATTACGACAAGAATATCATCCATAAGACGGCCGGAAAGCGCTACGTCTACAAATTCGTTTGTGATCTACAAAACCTGATTGGGTAAGTTGTGTCAGAAAGATGAGCGCATTGAGCAGTTTTTTCAATTATCTCCGTTTTCGTTTCGTATTCCAGCTACACGCCAGAAGAATTATGTGCTAAGTATGACCTCAAGACGGACAAGAAAGATGACGACTAGATTGCTGTTTGAAGGCTGAACGCCTAGGCGGTAAACTAAAGTTAGCTATGACTACAGCAACGAGCCCCCAAGCCAACCAACCCTAACTCACACATACACACACACACATACACTCAAAGTGAACTTAAAGCTGTGCTTTAATTGCGAGCGTAAACTTGACAATGCCAAATGCTATGAGATCATCGAGCTAACCTCATTTTTGGTTCCAAGTTCGCACATGTAGGCGCCCGCTAGTGGTGTGTGTGGTCGGGAGTTGCGGTGCATGCATGTGAATGTGGATTCTTCCAAATGTGCTTAATTGTCGAAAGTACACACACACACATTTATTACACATACACACATAAATATATAGACGCATACATATTTACACATTTACAGTTGTAATTATATTTTAGTACGCATACATATGCATATAAATATACCGTTATTTCTAAAGTATGTATTTGCTATTTTCTGTGCTTACTCATGTTTAAGTCATTTAATTATGAATTCAATTAATTTGTTTGAGGAGATTACATGCTTACTTATATACATACTTACATACATACATACATACATATAAATGTACATAGTGTGCTAAGGAACACAAGGCGTGCGCACGAAAAATAAGAGAAACCCCTAATAATCGTGATCTTAATTTTAAGTTTGCACAACAGTTTTACATTATTACATAACATACATAACGTGTACTCATAATTTATAAAAAATATTGCAAATATTTAGTGAGAAACGAAAATATAATTTTAATGTTACTTTTCTAAATTAAATAGCTGTTAGTAATTAAAAATAAATTAAAAATCACAAAAACGTTGTATAAATTTCTAAATATGAAAATTAGTGTGCTTGAGTATAAAAAAAAATCAAAAATATCTTAGTTTTTTAGTGCCTAGTATGTTTATAAAGCGCGATTTTTCATTTAAGTTAATTTTACTTTAATAGTATATACTTTCCGAAAGTTGTTAAATTAAAAAAAAATAAAAAATTGGTTAAAAAAAGTTAACAAAATATTTTGAGTCATGGAAAAAATAAAAAATTGAAATAAAACATATTGGAGAAAAAAAGTTATAAGTTCAGAACAAGATAAATTTAAAAACTAATAGTTAATAATTAAAATATACAAAATGAGCTAAAACCTGAAATAATTTATTAAAGGAATTAAATAAAAATAAAGTAAAACAAATAAATCTCGAAATTG